GGCCGTTGGCGTGGCCGTTGGCGTGGCCGTTGGCGTGGCCGTTGGCGTGGCCGTTGGCGTGGCCGTTGGCGTGGCCGTTGGCGTGGCCGTTGGCGATGCCTTTCATCGCCTTGCCATTGATGCCGTGTCTGACCATTTATCGTCGCTTCTCGAGCTATGCGTAAACAGTTCTCTTTGCCTCTCTTTCCTTTCTCTCCCTCTCTCCTTTCTTTGCTATTTTTCGTTTCTTCCATATCCGATCACTCATCCTCCAAACGCCCTCAGGTCGACTGTCGTCAACAGCTGCCATCTCATCTGAGCTGTAGATGCGCTACCCCTTTCTTTTCCGACAGAGATAGCGTCCGAGTGGATATAAGACTTGGAGGATCCGACGGATTGCAAGTGTTGGTCGAAGCTCGCACAGACTCTTCTCGCATTGTGCGTAGGTGGTGTGCCGCGGCTTCAAACTATGCGAAGATTAATGCAAATGATTGTTCTCTTTCTCTTTCTCTTTCTCTTTCTCTTTCTCTTTCTCTTTCTCTTTCTCTTTCTCTTTCTCTTTCTCTTTCTCTTTCTCTTTCTCTTTCTTCTCGGGTCACCTTTCTCTTGTGACAGTGAGAGTGACCGAGTCGACCGTTATAGTGAAGCAGCTACCGGAAAGCCGCGTGTGCAGCTTTCGAGTAGGCTAGCTCCTCAACCGAATTGAGAAGTGGCTGCGCGCCTGTCATGGCTGGTGGGCCAACTTCGGCCATGGAAAAGAAGATCGAGAGACGTGCCTTTTCGTGGTGTTCAATAAGAGGATCACATCCTCAAATTGGGCTAGATCTGGGACACATATTTCCTTCATGTATAAGGGTATAATTCCGGGACTGATCAAGAGTATTCAGTGTGGGGACGTAGCCTGGCCTTGACGCACTGTTCATAGTGCCATGTAAGCTGAGGAGAAAATCAGAAAAAGCTCATTCTTATGAGTTACTATCTCATTGAGAGCTTGACTCACAAAGAGAGGGTTGACGCCTGAGCGTCGGAATTCTTCGCCTTCAGCTTGGAACATCCGCCTTCCATGGGCATCCTTGAAGCATATGTTGTCGACGAAAGAGTGTATTATGAATGAGTCTCCCTATCGCAAAAAAAAAATGTCTGAAGAGGTCAGTCACCGATCGTCCACGAACTTCCGACAACAGCCTCTCGTGGCCTTTTTCTCGACTCATCTCACTTCGACATACACGCTCCATTCGAAGCGGTCGAAAGTCTTGTGAAGCGTTCTCAAAAGCATGAACCCGTTCGTGATGTCGTCAATGCTCATAGTGCTGTCGCCCGATACTTCACGGATGAGCTGTCGGGAAAAAAGAGGTCATTAGTCAAGTAAAAAAGCCAGAATAAGGATGGTCTTGTCGTCTCTCTCACTTCATCCCCTCTTGACTTGGGAAGAATGTGACAAGCCTCGATGTTGGCCCCAAACACATCAATTTGACCTGTGGCCACGCAGTGACAATTGTCTCTGCCATTGAGGAGGTTGCGAAATTGATTCTAAGACATCAAAGGCGCATTATTGATGTGCATGTCAGTGGATGGAAACAGTCCAGAGACAGTATTGACTCACTTGAACCGAGCTTTGCCTGGACGAATTACTGACCGATGAATCGTCGTCTGGATCGACGAAATCGCGCCTTCCTGACTTATCTTTGGCTTCACCTTTGAGGCGCAAAGCCGATTGACGCGCTAACCATGATGATGCTGTGCAATGCGGAGTCAGGATGAAATATGACACGTGCTTATTCAGGCGTCATAGTTTCTTGTAAGCTGTGGGATTTGAGATGGCAGCTTGCTAATTCATATACTCCTTGGAAGCCTTAAGAATGATTTCTCTCGAGTTGACGTGTGGGTGTAATCGTTGAAATTTGATATTAATCGGAGCACTTGCAAGAAGCTGTGAGGAAGCTGAGCACAATCGCGCTTGCTCAATAAAACTCTTGAACTTGGCTGAGAAGGCCTCTCTCTCTATACGAAACATCATTGGCACAACATGGGCTGGGACGAAATATGCGTGGTGAGCATCCTCAATCATTCCCATGATTGATGCCTCGCTTACTCTCTGTCATACACAAAAGATCTGTGGTCTGACTCCGGCCATTGTCGATGCTTTCGAGCAGACTCTCATCCTTGATTATGCAGAACGAACGCAAGTCTACGATAATGACTTGCGCTTCTTCCGACCCAATGACAACGATGAGAAGGCATCGTGGAGCTTCGTCGACAGCGGTGCCTGTCAAGAATTCCACATGGACCTTGCCGCCATCGGTCGATATCCAGGGATAGAAGAAAATGGCGCGGAA